GCTCAATATAGTGTGCTCGCACTACAGGTGAAATGCGGTGAAAACGCGTGAACAAATAGTTACGACTGTGACCCGGCCATTTGCGCGCGCAAGACGCCGGCATTACTGGTGCGGCTATTTGTTCACGCATCAATTTTACCGCATCTCACCTGCGGTGCAAGCACACTTAAGCAAGGAATCTACTCGACTGTACCTGCGACGCGCTTTTCTAATGGAAGATCGTTATTGTATCTGCAATAAATGTGTGGTCTAGGAAGAAAATGACGATCTTAAACAAAACATGGATGAACAAACGATTGAACAATTTTTCTATTTGAAATGCATGGAAAGCTGCATAAGAAAAGCCCATAACTTCCTAAAGAAGAAACGCATCGCAGATATAAAGGCATATTCGAAAGCAGCGTTTCGAGCTCCATCCATTATACATCACCATCCGAATCGCCACTTCGACTAATGGACTTCTCTTGGGAGACATATTAGTCATCTTACCGTGATGGTTCCATAAACAGTGACTTGATTTTCATTCAAGCGCGATATGTCCTCGTCTTCGAACACACCCGGGGGTGGCTCGGCTGGACCGCACGTGAAAATGGTAGCATTACAACATCTGTGTAGAAATGCTAATCATCTTATTCCTTTAGCTGAAGAAACTCACCTGACCGGATTGTAGTTGATTGCTATATCTACTTTGCGCCAATCTATTGACAGCTTTTCGACAGCATCCATTACCTACAGTGCTATTTTCTAAATATTTTCAACAAATTTTGGTTGAACCCACAGCTTCTTTCATAAAATTCTTGAAGTTCTGTAGAGCTGCCACGCGAGCACGTCTACGTTTTCGAAAGCCCCGCTCACAATAGGTGAACTCAGTCTTCCAAGTTTTATTGACACCCATCATTTGGAAGTCAATTGCTTAAGTAATATTTGAATGCAAGGCAAAATATCCTATGTCAGACATTTTTCAAAATGATTCGTAATCGAATCAGCTAGAAGAACAACAGACATGAATTTTAGTTTAAAATCCTGTAATCACAAATCTGCTAGTGCTGCTATAGGCCACAGGCATATTTCGTGCGATTTCACGCGAGGCGACCTGGCAATACTCCAGTTGTCTATAACTCATCATAAGCGTATTCTGAATGTACAAGAAGTAAGGCATTCTGCAGTCTACCACAACAATGCAGGTTATGCATTTGTAGTATGTCATATAAATTTGAAAATATGTGGCACTGCCGCAAACATGACTACTGAAATCGTATGCACCGCGCCATAGACTTTGGATGGTAAAAGCTAATCCAAGCCGAAAGCGGTTGCCCATGTACGCAAGGCGTGCGACATAAGAGCTTTAATGATGAAAGATGTGCGAACACGCCGGTTGCAGTCGCTTCGCACGTTAAAAGGACCGCCTTCGTCATGGAAGATCTTACTATAATATGTTCTGGTAGCGACCAAGGCCATACGAGTCCTCTTACAGTGAGGAGATTCGCGGTAATAAGGGCATTCCAGATACTAGATGTCATACGAAATAGAACACCTCTTGAATCCACAAAGATGTGCAGAGAAACGCCCCGCAACGCCGAAAAAATACTGATGCGCGCATGTACCTAGAGGAGTAGTGGTTTGCGTGGCGATGCTTACTGTTGCAGGTGTTCAAATTCTCCAGACCATATGCACTTTGAGTGCAATTAGTCTTGAGCTTGCTCATAATGCAAATGCGAGTACGGTGGTCAAAGATCAACTCCTTTGTTACAAAGGATATGCTAGCAAGTGGTCTAAAGCTCGTCTCATGTACAAGGTCAAACAACAGCAGTTGCGAAACATTGATTCATGACCTATAAATTAGTGATGTTTCGTCATTGTCATCATGCCATAAATTGGGAGATCTGCCTCATCATTTTGATTGCTATGGTGATTCTTGACCGCTAATTTTGCCCGCCTGATCCGCTCTAGAAGTAGTTTTCGGGACATTGTCATTAATTTTAAGATTTCAAGACTTATGGGCTTGAAGTAATGATATAGGATAACATAATTTACTAATTTGCCGGGAGTTTGCTGAAATCCCCTTCTGGGTGCTCTACCTTGTGGAAATGTCTTTGTCTCTAAAAACAAAAAAACGGAGGGAGATCCGTTTTGCTGGAAGAACAGACTTAGCGAATTCATGCGGCAGTGAACTTTCTCCATGAATTTCTAGGATAAAATGCTGAATTTCACAAAAACTTGCTAAAAACCGCTTCTGGGTGAATCTATCCTTGTGAAAATATGTTTTTGTTGCCATAGAGCAATGAGCGGAGGAAGCTCGGTCTCGCGGAAAGAAGAGATTAATGACTCCACGCGGCAAAACATTTTTGCCAATCAGATTTTATGTCAAACCTCGCAGATTGCTAAAAATTCATTTTTGGCCGCTTCTACTCCCTGAAAATACTAGTTTTGCTAATAAATTATATAAAAACTTGCTTGAAACATTATCGGCCGCTTCTACTTCCTGAGATCCTGCTTCTCCTACTAAGCAAAGAAGCGAAAGGAGCTTGGTATCGAGAGAAGACAAGGCCCATGGGCTCCATACATATTTGTAAGAATTTCTTGCTTCAATGCTAAATAACATAAAAGCTCGAAGTTTATTATCAGTAGTTTCTACTTCGCAAGAATTCTACTCATGCTACTAGGCAAAGAAGCGAAGGGAACTTGGCCTCTAGGGAAGGCAAGGCCTTTGGGCTCCATGCGGCAGGACATTTTTTTGAATTTCTTGGCTTCAATGCTAAATTGTATAAAAACTTGCTTGAAGTTCATTGTGGGTCGTTTCTACATCGCAAGAATCCCACTCTTGCTACTAAGCAAAGATGCGAAGGGAGCTTGGTCTTGAGGGAAGGCGGGGCCCATAAGCTCCACGCGGAGAGACACATTTTTGTAAGAATTCCTTGGCTTCATTGCTAGATTATATAAAAGCTTGAAATTCATTGTCGGTCGCTTCTGCTACAGGAGTATACTATTTCTGCTACTAAAAACAAGTGAAAGGAGCTTGAGTTCGAGGGGAAGAAGGGCCCATAGGCTTCATGCGGCTGGACACTTTTTTTTATAGAATTTTTTGGCTTCAATGCCAAATCATATGAAATTTTGCTTGAAATTCATTATCGGCTGCTTCTACTTTGCAAGGATCCTATTTCTGCTACTCAAAGCAAGAAGCTAAGGGAGCTTGATCTCGAGGGAAGGCATGGCCCATGGGCTTCATGCTGCAAGACATATTTTTAAAAATTTTCTTGGCTTCAATGATGAAGTTTTGCTCGAATTTCATTATCGGCCGCTTCTACTTCACAAGAATCCTACTTCTGCTGCTCAAAGCAAAATAGGCAAAGGATCTCGTCGTCAGCGAAGAAATGGCCACGGGCTTCAGCGGCAG